ATATGAATGATATATAAACACTTTTTTGATGCTGTGTTCTTCTCCAGCTACCATTCCCGCTCCTGTCCTTCATGGTCAATCAGTGTTGATTATAAGTGGTAGGATGTCTGTATTAGTTCCTTAGCATTTTACCTGGTATGTCCTGCCTCCGTTACCTGGCACAGTAGCTCTCTGAAGGCAGAGTGCATGTCTTGGGACTCCTTTAGATCTCCTGTCTCCGCATAGTACCATACCTACTGAAGGTGCTCCCATCTTTGACTAACACCCTTGATTGGGTGAAATCTTATAAACACATTTCCTCATATTCTTTCATTATAACAAATAATTACTGAGTTGTAGTAGAAGATGAGTAAAAATAGTGTGTGCCTTCAAGGAGCTTAAAATCTAATCATCCTTCTATCCTTTTACAAGAATGACTCAGTGGAATTCTATTCTAGTAAGGAGGATTAAGTTTGTAAGTAATTATAGGGATGCTAAGGCATAAGACACCAATCACTTCACGATGCACTTTGTATATTCCTATGGACATGGCAGGTCTTCTGTAGGAAAACAGCAGATTAGAGTGGGATGATGGGGGGCGCCTGGGTGGCTCAGTTGGTTAAGCGACTGCCTTCGGCTCAGGTCATGATCCTGGAGTCCCTGGATCGAGTCCCGCATCGGGCTCCCTGCTCAGCAAGGAACCTGCTTCTCCCTCTGACCCTGCCCCCTCTCATGTGCTCTCTCTCTCTCATTCTCTCTGTCTCAAATTAAAAAAAAAAAAAAAAAAAAAGGGATGATGGGTTGGGGCAGCAAAGTGGAATGCCTGGATGTTAGAAGAGTGTGACTTACACAGGCTGGTGGGACGGAGAGGGGTGATCAGAGCTGGCTTTTAAGAATGTTAGTCTGGGGGCCCCTGGGTAGTGCAGTTGTTAAAGCTTCTGTCTCTTGGTTTCAGCTCAGGTCGTGATCTTGGGATCATGGGCTCAAGCCCCGTGTTGGGCTCTGCGTCAGACTCTATGCTCAGTGTGGAGTCTGCTTGGGCTTCTCTCTCCCTCTGCAACCTCCCACCCCCACCTCATGTGCGTGCCATGTGTCTCTCTCTCTCTCTCAAATAAGTAAATCTTTCAAAAAAAATGTTAGTCTGGCAGCTCTATGGACCCGGAGAAGGAGCTCACCAGAGACAAGGAGTGGTAAGGGGCCTATTACAGATGCACAGATAAGAAGTAATGAGAGCTTGCTCAGATGGTGGCAAAAGACAGACCACAAGGAAAACGCACTATGGAGAAAAAAAAAAGTGTACCCTAGTGATTTAAGGTAATTGGATGCAGCAGAGAAGTCAAAGCTAAGTGTATTGCATTTTGTCATTAACAAATAGAAAATTAGGATTGGTTTTGAGGAGGAAAATGATTAATTTTACCTTGGATTTGTATTATCTACTGCTGTGTAGCAAATCATCATAGAATTGAGCAGCTTAAATAACAAACATAATATCTCACACACATTTTCTGAAGGTCAGGAATCCAGGAGTAGCTTAGCTGGAAGGTTCCAGCTTAGCTCCTCTCATGGGGTTGCAGTCAAGATGTTGTCCAGGGCTGCAGTCATCTGAAGGCTTGACTGGGGCTGGAGGATCTGTTTCCAAAATATCTCACTCACAGAGCTGTTGGCTGGAGGCTGTAGTTCCTTGCTGGCTATTGGCAGGAGGCCTCCATAAGGCTGCTTGAGTCCTCACAATGTGGCAGCTCATTTCCCCTGGAGTGAGTGACCCAAGGGAGCAAGCCAGGAAGAGACTGCAGTGCCTTTTATGACCTAGTCATGGAAGCCATATACCATCCCTTCTGCCATAATTTATTCCTTAAAAATGAGTCATAAATCTAGCACATACGCAAGGGGAGGTTAGACTCCACCTTTTGAAGGGAGGAATGTTGAAAAATTTGTGGACATATTTTAAAATCACCATAGGTATATTGTTTTGAGGACAAATTGAAATGAGCATTTAAATGAAAATGTCAGGAGAAAGTAATCAGGAGCATTTAGAGAGCCAAATTGCCTACATGTAGAAGTAGGTGACAGCTGGAGCTGAAAATATCAAAGATGGAGAACTTCTCAAGGCAAGCTTCTTAATGATCTTTCTCAACCAGTCTAGTCATTAATGGGCATTCTTCCCTTTTCCAGATTATATTATCCAGTTATTCTAACTTTTTTTTTTAAAGGTTTACATTTGTAATTTCTTGTATTTTGTGTCTTTCCTCCAGAGCTTCTTATGAAAAATTTTAAACTTGCAGAAGAGTTGAAAGACTGGTATAATGAGTGTCCGTTATGTCCACATCTAGGTTCAGTAATTGTTAACATTTTTACTTTTTCTAACTATCCAGTTTATCCATCCAAGTATTTTTTTTTCTGAACTATTTATTGGATGGCATTCTTTTGTAAAGAAGTTTGCCCTCAACCATGGCATAAACTACGGAACCTCTCAAAAAGGCAGGATACAGACTTAATTCTTTTCCCTTAATTACTGATTTTCAGAGTGAGGAACTGATGTAACAGTCACTTGCAATGGGAGCCAATGATTCTTTTTCTTTTTCTCCTTTCTTTCCTCTCTTCTTTTCTTTTCTTTTCTCTCTTCCTTCCTTCCTTCTTTCCTTTCTTTCTCCCTATGGACTCATAGTCCAAAGGTAACACATATAAAATCTCTATATAATGCCAGATATGCATTGTGCCATTTTGTACTCCCACCAACAACGTCAGAGAAAGTCTGTTTTTCCACAGCCTCACAAAGGACGTCTCTTGTCAAACATTTGAATTTTTGCCAAACGCGAGAAAATGGTATCTTGGTGTAGTTTTAATTTTTGTGAATGAGGTTGATCATCTTTGTGTTTTAAGGGCCATTTGCCTTCCTTTTTCTGTGTTCTATGTCTTTTGCCTATTTAAAGAATTTAAAGATTTTATTTTATTCATTTGTCAGGGAGAAAGAGAGAGCACAAGCTGGTGGGGGGGCGGGGAGTGGCAGGCAGAGGGAGAAGCAGGCTGCCCACCGAGCAAGGAGCCCGATGCGGGACTCAATCCCAGCACCCTGGGGTCATGACCTGAGCCGAAGGCAGACACCTAACCGACTGAGCCACCCAGGTGTCCCTATCTAAAGAATTTTTTAATCTTTTTTCATTTTAAGAGTTCTAAATACTAGGACAATTAGCCCTTTGTTTCTCATAGAAGTTGGGAGTATTTTTCCCCCCAATTTGTCATTAGTCTTTTTTGACTTTGCTTATGGTGTTTTTATGATGTGCAAAGATTTCCTTTTCTGTTCTGAATTTATTGCATGTGGATTTTAAGCTATAGTTAAGAAGGTTTTTCCCACACCCATGTTATAAAGAAGTTTATTTGCACTTGCTTCTAGGACTTGTGCAGTCCCCGCTCTCTCCCTCAACCTCCTCCCCCTTTTCCCTCCCTCTCCTTCCATTTCTCTTTTAACATTTGGATCTCTGAACCCTTTGGAGTTTATTCTGGCATAGGTTCTTTTTCCAGTGGCCATTCTACTGTCCAGTGTTTTCTCTCTGATTTGAGATATCACCTTTATCATATGCCAAATTTCAAAAAACTTTTGAGTTCTTGAATTTTCTATTTTGGGATTTTCTATTCTGTTATGTAGCCGTCAGGGTCCAATCAGGAGATAGAAACTACACAGTCGGTTCAACAGGGGAGTTTTAATATAAAGAATAACCATGGGGGCGCCTGGGTGGCTCAGTCGGTTAAGCATTAAGCATCTGCCTGGCTCAAGTCCCGCATCCCGCTCCCTGCTCAGTGGGGAGCCTGCTTCTCCTCCTCCTCCTGCTCGCGCTTTCTCCCTCTCTCTCTCTCAAATAAATAAATAACATCTTAAAAAAAAAAAAAACTATCATAAGAGATTAAGTATAATCTATAAGTAAACTAGGGCTGAGGGGGAGAGCATCCAAGGAAGGACTAATTTGGAAGGGGCTCAGACCTCCCTGGGAGAGGTGGATGGGCCACTGACTAGCGGAGATTTTGCTGGTTGAGCCAGGCCAGAGCCGCTCTAGGGTTGTTTGGCAGGCAACAGGACTGCTTCCGGGGTGCAGCGGGGGACCAGGCGATCAGCAACTGGGAGCATGGTTGTGCCCTGGGAGTCCAGGTGCCTGCGGGGTGGGGGAAGGTGGGGGACAGAAGGCCTTCACAGTGTGCAGGTAGCGTGAGGTGAGGAGTTTGTACAAGGAACGACTTCTTTGTGACTCGTCGGGCCCCAGTTCGGACAGGTGGCCGTGGAAAGGTTATCCCCGCACCGACGCTGCAAGGTTGCAGACGGACCCCATTCTGGACCCGTGGCAGGGCCAGACTCCACTGGCTCCATCCCCCACACTGCGGACCTCTGCGGGCGCCAGAAAATTACAGCTGCCTCTTTCTCCTTTGGTGTCCCTGCAGCGCCCCCTACCGAGAACGCTTAGCATTGTGCTCACTTTAACCAGGTAGAGCAAAGCCAGCTAGTTTACCATAGGCTGTATATTGAAGGGTGCGTTGAAAGCTGAGAAGCAATACATTGATAAGGGACACGTTGGCCTGTCTGTTCCTTGTGTTTTATTACTGGTGACTCGTCGTGTATTTGAATATCTGTTAATGCTGTCCCTGCTCACTGACCTACTCTTCCAAGGTTTTCTTGGTTGTTATTGTTTACTTTTACATAAGAACTTTAAAATAAACTTACCTAGTTCCAGAAGAAAAAAAGCCTTGGCATTTTAAGATCATCCTGCATTTTTTAATTGTTAAAAGTATAATAAATTCTTGTGGTTAAAAAAAAATTCTTGTAGCTAACAACAACAAAAGCAATAAAGAAGTGAATAAAGTAGCAAATGAGAGTTCCATGCCTCCCATTCACACTCCCTGAGGTTAATATTTTTGAGTCTGTCTTTCAGGATGTGTTTCTAAGCTGTGTGTGTAAGTAATAAATATGTTTGGACATTTTGAATAGTTAGGCCTGTAGCTCTAACTTAGAAATGTCTTTTTGTTTTTCTCTACAGCCATCATACCTGCCCATGAGCCTTTGAGAACATTATAATGTCCCTTTGTGCCTCTTCTCACAAAGAGTTTCCTCAGCTGTTACCTGTTCAAGACATGGATATCAAAAACTCACCATCTAGCCTTAACTCTCCGGCTTCCTACAACTGCAGTCAATCTGTCCTACCCGTGGAGCACGGCCCCATATATATACCTTCCTCCTATGTAGAGAGCCACCATGAATATTCCTCCATGACCTTCTATAGCCCCGCTGTGATGAATTACGGTATTCCCAGCAGTGCCAGTAACTCAGAAGGTGGGCCTGGTCGACAAACCACAAGCCCAAATGTGTTGTGGCCAACTCCTGGGCACCTCTCTCCCTTAGCCATCCATTGCCAGTCGTCACTTCTGTATGCAGAACCTCAAAAGAGTCCTTGGTGTGAAGCAAGATCGCTAGAACCCACCTTACCTGTAAACAGGTAAATTCAGTTGTCATTTTGAATTGTACTTCAGGGGCATTATTCAAATCACTATGATTTAGTGAGAAGAAAGATATGCATTATTTGAGGTCTTTATTCATCACATAGATTACTTAGAGCACCTAACACATACGATATTCTGAATTCTAGAATATCTATTCTGATATTTTAATCCTTGCTAAAAAGTAAGCTATTAGGTCTGGGTTGTGGGGAGAATTCACTATCATGACTGTTGTTTTTGGACATTAAATATTGAAATTAAATCATTTTTCTCTTGATGGAGTGACGTGGGTTTGAAAAAGAAATTTTTACTTTGAAGTTAGATCCTTCTTGTAGTGAAATCACAATTTAGCATTCATGACACATTGTGTCCAGGATAAAAGCAACTGTGGCAATATTACTACTTACATGAAATACACTGGACATAGAAAGCCTGAAAAGACAGACAGTAATTGGTATAAGCTTTTTAGTAGTGAACTAAAATAACATTTGATAAAGATTGATGGGAAACTTAATTGTAGACTTTAGTTGAAATTTCTTGAAGCTCAAAAGAGTATTTGTACTCTTTAAAAGCAAGGTAACGTGATGGTTATTTCCATTTAATTTGTAATGTGTTTAATGATAATTATAGCTATGGAGGGAAGAGGTTGTGTAGGGAGAAAGATGAGGAGGAGATAAATTTCTAGAACCGCCAAAGTATTAAGTCATTGTGTATTGGATATTGAAATTTGTTACTTTCAAATGCTGTCGTAACACGTTGAGAAAGCCATATTACACAGTAATTTTATTTTTCTTTTTTAAAAACTTTGTTGGTAAAAGAGAATATAAACATTGTATATAACTTTTTTACAGTACTGTTTTTCACTCAGCCTTCAAGGGAAGACCCTTTGTTTCTGAGCATGAGCTCTAATCAGAGTTCTGCTAATATTACCCATAGTATAATTATCTTCATTTAAAACCAATCATACTCTAACATTTCCTTTCCAAAAGAAGCATGGCCTGGCAAAATTAGGAACTAACCACATGTGCTTTTGTGTCTGCCAGTGCTGCCTTCATGGGCTGTCCCTTCCTCTATGGGAGCTGTTGCCCCTCTCCCCAGCACTGAGCACCTGCTTCCATCAAAACCTTCTCTAAGGACAGGCATGTGTCCACTTTCTTCCCCTCTCTTCTCCTTTCTCTTTTTCTTCTCTCTGCCCTTCCCTGCCCTTCTCTACCCTTCCCTACTCCTCTCTACCCTTCCCTACTCTTCCCTGCTCTTTCTCTCTCTCTCTAAACCAGAGTATCGTATTCACTTCAGTATAACTTAAAGTCCATTTGTAACTCCTCTTAAAGTTATTTTCATTCTAGACCTTCATCTTACATTGCAGAATGAAAGATTTTGTTCCCCATTTAAATGGGAACTCTGAAGGGCTATTTAGCAACACTTGGGAATGACTAATACTTGAAAATGGTTGGGTAAATTTAGGCCCATCCATACAGTGTTGATGAATTCTAGCAACTACGGAAGACTACTGTACACCTTGCTTGTGGTTCAGACCTGCGGATAAGACTTACTCTGGTCACTTATTACACTCAGAGATGTGCAACCTGATGGCTACAACTGGCCATCTGTAGTTACTAGTGCTCATCAGTGCTGCATGGATGGGCATAGACTTGCAGAACCACTTTCAAACATCAGTCATTCCCAATAGTGTGACTCTTCATAGATCTGATATCAGCAACAAAGGTTGTGCTTGATCAGATTTCTTGGAATATATTTATCATGAGCCCTGGAGGGCAAAGAGGTAAATTACGCAGTGTTCATGCTATTTTTTTTTTCTAGAAAGTCCATCTTTTCTCTTAATGCTGTCTTACAATGAATGTTTTCTTTGCCCCCAGAGAGACACTGAAAAGGAAAGTTAGTGGGAGCAGTTGTGCCAGCCCTGTTACTAGTCCAAGTTCAAAGAGGGATGCTCACTTCTGTGCGGTCTGCAGCGATTACGCATCTGGATATCACTATGGAGTCTGGTCGTGTGAAGGATGTAAGGCCTTTTTTAAAAGAAGCATTCAAGGTACAAGAGTATTATTAGTTGCTTCTTTAATTTTCCACTTTTGCTTTCAAATAATTTTGCAGATGACCTGGCAGAAATTTCACCATTGGCCTGTTTGGTACACAAAGTACTTGATGAACAGTTCAGAGGATCATGTGTGTTTGGGGATGGGGTGGATGGTGGAATGGATTGTTTCAAGTGTGGAGCACCTTATCTTTAATTGTGGATCTCTACTCCAGAGCCCCAGAACTTGGATGGATCTCTTTCCACCATCACCCATCACCATCTTCTTGGGAAAAGACACCTAGTTACAACTCTCGTATATCTCTTACTGGTTTTTGATTTATGGTTACCATTAGGTTTGTATATAACATATTATGCATATAGTAATTTACATTAAGTTGATGGTCTCTTAAATTTGAACCCATTCTTTACTTCTCTCCCCTACTCCTCTCCACTGCTGTATTTTAAATATATCATGTCATACTTTACATCCTTATATTTTATGAATCCCTTGGCTGATTTTTATAGATACATTTAATTTTACTTTTGTGCTTACTACTTTTCTTATTCCTGCTTATGGTCTTTCCACTCAGAGGGTCCCCTTTAACATTTCTTGTAGGGCTGGTTTAGTGGTCATAAATTCCTGTAACTTTTGTTTGTGTGGGAAACTCTTTATCTTTCTATTCTGAATGCTAGCCTTGCTGGATAGAGTATTCTTGGCTGTAGGTATTTTTCTTTCAGCACTTGGAGTGTATTATGCCACTCTCTTCTGGCCTGCAAAGTTTCTGCTGGAAGATCAGTTGACAGCTTTATGGGGGTTCCCTTGTATGTAACTCTTTTCTATTGCTGCTTTTAAAATTCTCTCTATCATTACTTTTTGCCATTTTAATTATTATGTGTCTTGGTGTGGACCTCCTTGGGTTGATTTTGTTGAGGGCTCTCTGTGCCTCCTGGATCTGCATTTCTATTTCCTTCCCCACATTCAGGAAGTTTTCAGCTATTATCTCTTCAAACACATTTTCTGGCCCATTTTCCCTCTCTTCTCCTTCTGGGACCTCTATAATGCAAATGTTATGCTTGATGGTGTTACTTAGTTCCCTAAGTCTGTTTTCATTTTTTATTTTTTTTTTCCCCTCTCTCCTGTTCAGCTTGATTGCTCTCCATTACTCTGTCCTCCAGGTGGCTGATCTGTTCTTCTGCTTCTTCTAGTGTACTATTTATTCCATCGAGTGCATTTTTACCTTTAGTTATTGAGTTGTTCATCTCTGATTGGTTCTTTTTTATGTTTTCTATTTCTTTGTTAGGAGTTTCACTGAGGTCCTCCACTCTTTTCTCCAGTCCAGTGAGTATCTTTATGACCATTACTGTAAATTCTCTATCAGGTGGGGCACTTGGGTGGCTCAGTGCATTAAGTATCTGCCTTCAGCCTAGATCGTGATCCTGGAGTCCTGGGATTGAGCCCTGCATTGGGCTCTCTGCTCAGTGGGGAGACTGCTTCGCCCTCTGACCCTCTTGTGCTCTCTCTCTCTCTCTCTCACTCAGGTAAATAAATAAAATCTTTAAAAATAAATAAGTAACATGCCTGATAGAGAATTTCTTATCTGTTTCATTTAGGTCTCTTGCTATGATTTTGTTCTGTTCTTTCATTTGGAACATGTTCCTCTGACTCCTCATTTTGTCTAGCTCTCTGTGTCTGTTTCTTTCTTTCTTTTTAAGATTTTATTTATTTATTTATTTATTTGAGAGAGAGAGAGAGAGAGAAACAGCATAAGAGGGGAGAGGGTCAGAGGGAGAAGCAGGCTCCCCGCTGAACCGGGAGCCCAATGCGGGACTCGATCCCAGGACTCCGCGATCATGTGAGCCGAAGGCAGTCACTTAACCAATTGAGCCACCCAGGCGCCCTCTGTGTCTGTTTCTATGTGTTAGGAAAGTGAGCTATGTCTCCTGATCTTGTAAGTAGTGGCCTTATGAAGAAGAGGTTCTCTAGTGCCCTGCAGTGCAGTGTCCCCTGTTCACCAGACCTGGCACTTCAGGTGCATACAACAACTTATGTGTGTTGTATGCACCCTACTATGGTGGCTGAGCTGCTTTTGCCTTAGGCCAGTTGTCTGCAACGGCTCTCTTTGCCTGTTGTGGGCAGGATTTAGTCGCTGCATTGTTAATGGGCAAATCTGGGGCCGCCTTGGGCTTGAGTTGAGTTAGATCAGGGAGCTAAACAGACCTATGGGGTGCGGGGCAGGGAGAGGGCACACACCAGCTCCTTTGTTCCTGGAGAAGTCTGCCAGCAATCCCTGTCCCTCCAACACATACTCTGAGATTAGTAAACAAATCTCCCTCCCATACACCCCGGGCATTTTTCAAACTGCTGCTTCTATGCTGTATCCCCATAGGGCTGTTTGTTGTGCTATCTCTTTAAGGGCAGAGACTCTGTTTCTTCTTGCCTTCCTAGCTCTCTCAGAGCCAAGCCTGCTGATTTTTGGAGTTCCACCTGATCAGCCCTGTTCATTGTAAGAACTCATAAAATTACCCCCCTCTGGTTTTCAAAGCCAAATGTTATGGGAATTCATCTTAACTGTGTGAGTTCCCCATACGTGGGGTGCTTGGTGTGATAGTCTATTCCTCTTCCCTCTCTCTAAGCCTGCGGGTCCCTCCCTCCCGTGGACAGTCCCATAGGTCTGTCTGCATAGGCAGCTCCCAACTACCTTTTCATCCTTCCTATCCTCTTCAGTGTGGCCTCTTCTCTACATTTATCTGTGGAGAGTCTGTTCTGCAAGTCTTTGGGTCATTTTCTGGATTATTTACACTGATGGGGTGTTATCTAGTTGTATCCATGGGATGAGGTGAGCTTAAGATCTTCCTATTCTGCCATCTTCCTCAGAAGTCCCTAGTTACAACCCTTGTGAAGATAAAGCTTGGAAAAAATGTGCTCGTTAGGAATTACAAAGATTGTTTCTTCCTTTGACTTATGTTTAATATTTGGCATGCGTAAGAGTCATGATGGTGGGATGGCTCCTGATAGAATCTAGAGGGTGGTGAAGGGTAGAATGTTAGTAGTTAAGAGTTACCTTCCTGCAGATCCCCTGAAATTCACCCTGTTTAGAGGACCACCTATTTTTCCTGGATCTTCCACTTAGTAGCTCTATGACTTTACCTCCTAGCCTGTTTCCTCTTCAGTGAAATGGAGATACAGAATTGTTCTAAAGATGAAATGGGGGCGCCTGGGTGGCCCAGTTGGCTTAGTGTCAGACTCTTGATTTTGGCTCAGGTCATGATCTCAGGGTCATGGGTTTGAGCCCTGTGTCAGGCTTCATGCTCAGTGGGGAGTCTGCTTGAGATTCTCTTTCTGCCTCTCCCTCTGCCCCTCCTCCAACTTCCACACACTCTCTCTCTAAAAAAATAGGTAAATAAATCTTTAAAAAAATAAAAATAAAAAAATGAAGTTGGCTATGTGAAAATATTCAGTCGTTTATAAACATCATGCAAATTTAAGATATTCTAGTTTTAACTCTTCTGTATTGAGATATCAACATCTTTTCCTTCTTCTTTGTATTTTCTAATATTTAAACCCACATTCTCTAAAATCTTCATAGTTGGGTGGATCAGGGCCCTCTGCCATTTCCAAACTTAATTTTATTGGGAAAAAAAAAAAAAACCCATCACAGATAAAGGAGGCCTATGTCATCAAATATTATCAAAACGTAAGTTGTATTATTTGCTTATTTATAATTTATACACAAAACTTTTCATTCTGTATTTAACATATTTAGTGCTTTAATATTTTTCTTATGATAATTGTAGTAGTAAATTATAAGGCCAGGCCTACTTCCCTGCTATTATATAGCATGAACAATTCAGATTTCTAAAATTTAGAACTGAACTCTTGACATGATGACAGTTCTCTATCTTGTTGAGATTCCAGAATTTTATTCCTTAAGGAAATCTTGACCCAATACAACTAACTATATCCTTTGAAAAGGATTCTTTTTATTTGCTGTTGGGAAAAAATCTCTACCTAAAATATCTTTGAACTCTTAGACTATGGCTGATTACAATGACAAGGGAGTTTCCTCTGCTTTCTGCATGTCATTCCTTCCTACTGCGTGAGCCAAGAAACTATTGGGAAAGGGGAAAGAAAGGTCACATTCTAAGTGTGCAGAAGGGAAAGAGTGAGTGCTTTTACAATTGCTTACTATGTAAGCAATTAACTCTTCATATTTTTGGCATCCTCTGATATAAAATATGTTGCAGTAACTGAAAATGGCCACCCAATTCTTTCTGTATATTGAATGAAGTAAGAATGAAATGTATTTATCATATTATCATTATTCATAATAAAAACTCTCAACAAAGGAGGTTTAGACAGAGGATATCTCAACATAATAAAAGCCATATATGAAAAACCCAAAGCTAACATCGTACTCAATGGTGAAAAACTGAGAGCTTTTCCTTTAAGATCAGGAACAAGACAAGGATGTCCACTCTCACCACTTTTATTCAACATAGTGCTGGAAGTTCTAGCCACAGCAATCACACAAAACAACAAATAAAAGGCATCCAATTTTGTAAGGAAAAAGTAAAACTTTCACTATTTGTGGATGACATGATATTATATGTAGAAAACCCTAAAGACTCCACCAAAAACCAGTAGATAAGTGAATTAAGTAAAGTTGCAGGATACAAAATTAATGTATGGAAATCTGTTGCATTTCTATACACTAATAATGAAGTAGCAGAAAGAAATGAAGAAAACCATTCCATTTACAATTGCACCAAGAAATAATAAAATACCAAGGAATAAACTTAACCAAGGAGATGAAAGACTTGTACTCTGAAAACTATAATACACTGATGAAAGAAATTGAAGATGACATAAGCAAATGGAAAGATATCCCATGCTCATGGATTGAAAGAACAAATACTGATAGTGTCCATACTACCCAAAGTAATCTATGGATTCATTGGATTCCCTATCAAAATACCAACAGCATCTTTCACAGAGCTAGAACAAATAATACTGA